CATATAAAAGTATACTAGAGTTAGCATTAATCTTTAATTTATATTTTTTATGATGTCTATCAATGATTAGGAATAAACTTCATATTCTCTTTTGCATCGTTTTAACATACTTTAAATCAATCATTTTGCCATATTGGTTTTAAATATTCACCTTCCTTGTATAACACTATTTTAATATTATTCACTTTGTAATGTTATACTTTCTCAAATAAAGCTTAGTTTCATATCGGTCAAAAATAATATGAAAATTTAAATTATTTTTAAATTATATTTGTTTTTTATCAATTCAAATATCAACATGAAAATTTAAATTGGGTGTATCCCATTTAAACAAACATAAAAAAAATAATTAAGACGTAAGAGTTTAAAGAAAAAAATAAGCACAAACTGCCAAAAATACTTAATCATGATATTAAATCACGTGCATTACACGTGTGTAAAAACTAGTTATTTAAAAAGTTGCTGGTCATAAACCACCCTTAAAATGGACAAGCGTAAACTTTTTTGTTCAACGTATGATATTCTATCCCTACAAAAACTTAGCATTAGGTTTAATCAATACTAGTATTAAGCCCGTGCGTTGGTGCAGTATTATTTATTGAGCTTTGTCTATCGCCAAATTAATACTATAGTTTTTATATATAACTATTTATAAAAACTTCAGTGATGATTTTATACTGCTATTTACGAAGTGAATCTCCAGAGAAGTTAACAAAATAGCACACTAATTAGTAAGTTTCACCAATTTTCTATAATAGAGCCAGAAAAAATTTATATTTTTAAAATATTTGATAAAGGTTAAATTCATCAATTGCAACAAAAAAATGATACTGCTTGGTGGAAAAATTATAAAAAGACAATGAAGGAATTGAATGTTTTATTCTCTCAAACTCAATTACAATTTGGATTTCCTGATTACAAAAGAGAAGAGAATTAATCTGAATTCTCCCCTTTGTTTAATTTTGGGTTCTTCACGGTGGCGATGGAGTACTTCCCTCGAATGCTCGCGTCAAGTTTGCTCTCCGTTGACGATCTGAACGTCTTAATTCACTGGAACGATATCTTCTCCTCACGATTTGATGCTATGGAGAACTTGCAAAGCAAGTTTGAAACTCTGAACGAGTTGATAATTCAGAGCAAGTTTAAACTCTTAAAAAAGAGTTGATTTGAACCGAAAAATCTGTTAATAAGCCAAGGGAATGCTCCAAGAACTTTGTTGCTACCGGAAGCTTGAAGATGATCTGCTGTCAAGGAGATGATCCGAAGAAGATGATCTCTAGATCTCCAAGATACTCCAAGATCCAAAGGATCCGAACTCAGTTGAGTTTACTCTTATTTATAGGTGATTAAGGGGTATAACCGCCCCCTTAATTCGCTCCTAAGTGGGGCTGAATGGGGTGTAACCGCTCCTTAAAATGCTTCCCAAATCGTGGGGAAAACGGTTTTAAAACCGTTCAGTTCGTGCTTTGAACGAGTCAAACGCTAAAAAATAACGTTCAGGGCCCGAACTCTGTGTTTTAGACTTAAAACGCAGAGTTGGGCCTATTTTGGTAGCTGAACGCATAGGTTACGCTGCATTGTAAATCTAAAACGCAGAGTTAGGATGCAGAGATGAACTCCACGTTTTGAGTCCGCGAACTCTGCATTTTTAACTGGAGTGCTGGGGATGAACTCTGTGTTTTGACTTTGAAACGTGGGCATGACCTCTGTGTTTTGATGTTGTAACACAGGGATGACCTCTGTGTTTTGATGTTATAACACAGGGATGACCTTTGCGTTTTGATGGTGAAACACATGGATGACCTCTGTGTTTTGATGTTGTAACACAGGAATGACCTCTGCGTTTTGATGTTATAACACAGGGATGACCTCTGCGTTTTGATGATGAAACGCATGGATGACCTCTGCGTTTTGATGTGAAGAGACCATCAATTTATGGTCTCTTTTGCTGAAGCTTTGCAAATACTATCATCTTGTAATCTTCATCTTGGCTCCTTAAAAATATGAGAGTCATCATATTGTAACTCCCGATGTTGGTTGTGAAGGCTGTTAAACTAGAGCTTTCATCGGTTGTTGTAAAGGTCGTCAAATTATAACCTTTATCGATCTACGTGAAAGTCTTCAAATTATAGCCTTCTAAAAGTCGTCAGATTGTAACTTCCATCATTGGTGTTTGATGGGGGATCAGCTATCTGTAGTGATTTTTAGACAACCTACAGATACATATAATATTTTCAATGTTAAAAGGTGTTACCTCAGCTTGAACAGTAGACAAAGAGCCAAAAATTATTGTAGCATATAGAGTATGTCTAAGGTTAAAAAATATATTGTAACATGAACAATATGTATGGGAAAAAAAATCAGCGCAATGCATACAACTAAGAATGAAAACATCACTACAGAACGAATAATATTTTTAATGTCCTGGATCAAACTTTAGCAACAATAATGTTTACTGTAGCGTGAACAGTGATTTTAAGGTTTTGCTTTTACGTTTGGAGTAGTAGATATTCAGCTATCGGTAATTATTATTATATAAATTCACATGTTCTATTCTCCGAGCTGTAAGTCTAACCGAACATAGAAATACGTCCATCCATTTTGCTTAGTCATAAGCACAATATATAGTGTGTGTTCATTTACTTTTCAAGCATTCTAGATTTTATGTAAATCTAGATTTGTTTAAGGTTAGAATAGACCAAACTTAAAACAACAAAAGTGTTAAATATAGTAGTTAGGCTCTTTTATTTTGCTTTACTTTAGTCCTATATTATTTAGGATCCTAAAGCTTCTATGATTGCTCTTCTGTTTAAACACTTCAATGCGATTAATAATATTGTCAAGTTTCCCTAAATCTCCCTATACTTATCATGAAATCAGAGCCATCTTGCTCTTATTAGAGAGAGCTCCTCCTCCTTTCTCAACTTCCGGGTCGCCCAAGGGGTCCCTCGGTGGCTTTGACATCATCTCCTCCTCTGGTTAGGCCATAGGCTAGACTGTTAGGGTTGAACAATCGACAACCTGTGCCCTCCGGATCTTATGACGAACAATTAGTAAGCATGAAATCACAGCGAATCAAAAAACTTACAGGAAAGAATAAATAAAAGAGAGAACACCAGATTTAACGAGGTTAGGCAAACGTGCCTACGTCCTTGGGAGACACACCAGAAATTTATTGATTATTGAAGAAGATTACAAAGTTTGCAATAGACTACTCTCTCTCTAAGACCTCTGATCTCAAAGTGCTCTCAAAACCCTCTCTTTTTCATGTATTAACTCTCAAAAGAATGTTCAAGAAATATATAAAACCCTAACTCAGAACAGATTCCAAACCGAATCAGGAAACAGGATGGCCCGATATCGGTCGATTGATGTACTTGCATCGGTCGACCAATAAGAGCTTTTAGCTTATTTCATGCATGTTGTCGGGCGACTGGTGGCACCTCGCTTATCGACTGACCAGAGAGATGTTTTCCAGCTTCTTTCCTACAATCGAATCGGTTGACTGATGTCAGCCCTTCGATCGACTGATCAAGGGGTTTTCTAACTTCTTGATTTCGTTCCAGGTTAGGGTCTACACTCCTGAAACTAACAATCTCCCACTTGGATACCAAACCTCCATCAACAAGTTCTCCCGAACTTCAGCCATCTTGGCAAGCATCTTCTCCTCCCCAAAAAAATTTCTTTCTTCAATCAACATCATTCTCGATAATCCCACCTGTCCTCCTAGTATGGCTCTGCCCTCATCTCCTATGCGTGAAGACCAATTAAAGTTGCACACAACTTTAGTTTCTCGATGGTCACTGCCTTAGTCAACATATCTACAGGATTTTGGATCCCTAAAATTTTCTCCAACAGTAACTTTCCATCCTCTATCAGCGAGCGTATGAAGTGGTAATGCACATCGATGTTCTTTGTTCTGACATGATATATTAGATTCTTGGTAAGGTGTATAGCACTTTGTCTATCACAATAAAGAACTCCGTTCCTCTACTTCAGACCCAACTCTTCCAGACATTCGGTCAACTAAATCATCTCCTTGCTAGCTTCAGTTACTGTGATATACTCTGCCTCAGTCATGGACAACGTTACTATCTTCTGCAAACGTGAGAGCCAGCTCACTGTTATTGACCCTAAGGTATGAACATACCCCGTGATACTTCGCCTCGTATCATGATCATCGGCAAAATCTACATCCATGTATCCCTGTAGTACCAACTCCTTTCTCCCAAAATACAATAGCATATCCGTAGTCCTTTTCAAGTATCGTAATATCCACTTCACGGTCTCCCAATATTGCTTCCCTAGATTGCTGGCAAACCTGTTCACAACTCCCACTGCATGAGTGATATCCGACCTCATGCAAACCATCGCCTATATAAGATTACTAATGGCTGATGAGTATGGAACTCTGGTCATAAACTCCTTCTCTACATCTATCTTAGGTGACTGCTCCTCAGATAACCTGAACTGACTTCCAAGGGGCGTGCCTACCACCTTTGCATTTTGCATGTTGAATCTCTGAAGTACCTTCTTAATATATTCAGCTTGACTCAACTTTAGCGTCCCTTCAGCCACATCTTGACTGATTCGTATCCTAAGAATTTGCTTGGCTACACCCAGGTCCTTCATAGCAAACTCATTTGCCAAATGCTTCTTCAACTTTTTAATCTCTTATAAACATGGCCCTACAACTAACATGTCACCTACATACATCAATAACACGATATAGCTAGACCCGAACCTCTTATAGTAGCAGCAATGATCTGAATTGCACCTTCCATAGCTATGCTCCACATGAAATTATTAAATTTTTTGTACCACTGTCTTAGAGTCTGTTTCAAACCGTATAAGCTCTTCTTGAGCCCACATACTATCTCTTCAACTTGTTAATCTCTTGTAAACATGGCCCTACAACTAACATGTCATCTACGTACATTAATAATACGATATAGCTGGACCCGAACCTCTTGAAATAGCAGCAATGATCCGAATTGCACCTTCCATAGCTATTGCTCTGCATGAAGTTATCAAATTTCCTGTACCACTGTCTTGGAGCCTGTTTTAAACCGTATAAGCTCTTCTTGAGCCTATATATCATCTCTTCCTTTCCTTCCTCTATGAAACCAACATGTTGCTCCATATAGATTTTTTTTATCCAAGTCACTATGAAGAAAGACAATCTTTACATCTAACTACTCATAGTAGATATTTTCAGCAACTACCAAGCTTAACACCACCCTGATGATTTTAAGCTTCACGACAGGGCAAAAATATCTTTGTATAATCTACTCATTCCCTCTATTAGAATTCTTTCATAACTAATCTGGCCTTATATCTTTTGCTGCCATCATTCTTCTGCTTGACCCGGTAGACCCACTTGTTATGTAAGACTTTCTTCTTTGCAGGTAGCTAGGCTAATTCCCGTGTCTCATTCGAGTGTAGAGAATTCATCTCTTCTCGTATCACATGCTCCTACTGCTGAGATTCACTAATTTACATAGTCTCCTCATGGCACTCTGGTTCTTCATTGTCCGTCAAAAGTAAGTAATCGAGCGACGAAAGATATCTAGGATTCAGTTTGGGTATTCTGGATGACCTCCTAAGCTCCTCGTCCTGGGTATTAGTCTCTGCACCTGGAGTATCCTCCGTTCTTTGGTCAGAACTAACATTATCTCTCCTATCTAGAAGTTTCTCTAAATCTATGTACTTGGATCCACTTGAATCCTTAGTATTTTTCCCACTGCTTTGGCTATCCGTGACATTATCCTTGTCCTTGTACATCACCTATTCATTAAATATGACTTCTCTATTCCTGATGATTTTCCTATTCTTATCATCCCACAGGCGATATCCAAACTCATCAATGCCGTATCTAATGAATGTACACTTCTATGACTTAGCTTCTAGCTTATCCTTGACATGGTCACATATATGAACATATGCCACGTAACTAAAGACCCTCAAGTGTGAGAGATTAACTTTCTTTCCACTCCAAACCTCTTCTGGAATTCTAAAATTTAATGGAACTAAAGGCCCATGATTTATCAAATAAGCTGTTGTATGCACCGCATCCGCCCAAAACTTCTTAGGTAGACCTGCATGTAGACGTATGCTCCTCGCACGCTCTGTCAATGTTTTGTTCATTCTCTCTACAATGTCGTTCTATTGCATTGTTCCTAGAGTAGTCCTCTCTAAGAGAATCTCATTCAGAGCATAGAACTTCTTGAACTCCTTCAGCTCGAATTCTCCACCACTGTTTGAACTCAGTCACTTTACCTTCAGATCTGTCTCATTTTCTACCATAGTTTTCCACTTCTTGAAGATCCCAAATACCTCTGACTTATGTTTTATGAAGTATACCCACACCTTCCTCGAGTGATCAACGATAAAGGTGACATAGTATGCCGAACTGCCAAGAGAACACACGCTAGTTGGACCCTATACATTTGTATGAACATGCTCTAGCTTATGAGCTTTGAGTGGTCTTCCACTCATCTGAAAGCTGACCCTCTTCTGTTTCTTATAGATACAGTCTTCACAAATGCCAACTTCTACTGAATCGATGCCAGATAACTTTCCCTAAGAGTGTAGAATCTTCATACCCTTCTCGCTCATGTGTCCCAACCTATTATGTCACAGATCTGCACTTTCCTTGCTAGCTGCAATTGCGAGGGTGTTACTTACATGTGAAGTTAAATAAAGAGTTCTAGTTTTATTACCGTGAGAAACTATCATAGTAGCATTGGAGATCTTCCACGAATCTCCGGTAAATGTCGAAATGCAACCTTCCAGTCCAAGCTGACCAACTGAAATAAGATTCCTCTTTAGCTTTAGTACATGCCTAACATTCTTCAGAGACCACTTAAAACCCTTCATCTGAATCTACACATTGCTTCTTCCCACAATACTACAATGCTCGTTATCCCCCAAATATATTTTCCCAAAGTCCCTTGCTACATAGTTTTGAAGAAGCTTCCTATTAGCAGTGGTGTAGAATGAGGCTCTCGAATCAATAACCCATTGTTCGTGGTGAAAGTTGCTTTCATTGATGTCATTGCTTTCTCAAGTAATAGTTTTTCGATTATAAAAGATCCGGTCTTTTTATAAGATCCGGTTACAACAAAATCAAAGAAAAAATTACAACTCTCCTTTTCTCGAACAAATCGCAAGATCCTGTTTTGCGGTCTCTTGCTTGTGTGGGTTCTTTGCCTGTGCCGGGGTTAATCCGTGGACCACCGTGTGATCTTGATCTGGTCGGATCTACACGGTATGACGGGTGTTATTTCACGAAGGAAATAACAGCCGGGGGTACTATTTCACTAAGGAAATAATAGTCTTTAGTAATCGAAGTCGACCAAGCGAAATCGATACTCTTCTCGAGATAAAAAACCAAGTTTTGATCCGGAGGATGACCGTGTAGATCTCAGATCTGATCTCTCTCTCGAACTTCTATCTTATCTGACGTGGATGATCACCAAGAACCAGATCTGAAAATGTTTAAGTCTTCAAAGCTTCAAAACTCCAAAGTTCAGTTCTCAATCCAGCAGAGTTTCGCCTCAAAAAGTTCCAACCTTTCAAAAATGAGCCATGCCCCCTCTATTTATAGGCAATCAAAGCGGATCTGGGCTCAGATCTGAGCCCAGATCAGAGTGTGGCTCGGCCACCGAGCCACCCTTGGGTGGCTCGGCCATGGCCGGTGGCCCGCCCCCCGAGCCACCTGAGTGACTCGGTTTTGGCCGGGTGTTCGCCGTTGTGTCCGTTGTCCAGTTTCGCGGTTTATCGGTTTATCCGAGCTTCGTCGTTGATCTGAACTCTGATTTGGCAGTAAATCCGCTTCGATGTTCCAGTTCGAATCCGTTCCACAGTTGGATGACTCGTTGACTCACCGAACCGTTAGCTTGATTCCGCACGCGAGTGGATTTATTCCGTTGTTTGCGTGCGGTTCGTTAGCCTTGTCGCCTCGTTAATCCGCTTCGTCACGTGTCACTTGGCTTCGGTGTTGTGGACTAACGATCGCATTTAGATACGTCATCCGATGGTTCGTTGGTTTGTCGAATCACCGTGCCGAGCTGTGCTAAGGGACCCATTTCGTTGGTTTGTCGAATCACCGTGCCGAGCTGTGCTAAGGGACCCATAGGCAGTTTTATACACCTACAGATACCCCCTTCAAAGTATTTCAACCTCGTTCTTTTATAGAAGAGTCTGGAATACTTTAGATATGATTGTCCCAACCTTCAGTCGGTGTAACAGGACCTTGGAATGGCTTCTGTTCTTGATTCCTTCAATCCTTCAGGCTATTCGGTGCTTTGTCGAATGTCTGTAAGGGTTCCGGTGCTGCATTTATTGTCTGACCGTTGTCGGAATTTTAAACTTGAAGTCGATTCCTGATTTTCTGATCTTTAGCTCGTGTTTGCTGGTTCAACATAGAACTGACCATCGATTATTGGCGTTGAGTCTTTATTTGTGACGCGTTGTCCGGCGTAGTGTTATTGAGTTATTCTTAAGAATATTTTTAGAAAAATATTCTCTAGAAACTTCTCAACCAAAAATAGGGAATAGTTTATACTCGTATACCTTATTGGAGTATTTTTCGTGCCCGAATGAGCTGAACCGGCCTGATAATGACCCCAAAAAGGCAGTAATTAGGCTCAAAAAATCTTCCGACCCTTCCGAATGTGTGGGAGAGGAAAGAATAAACAAAGGACTGAACCATCGGTCGATTTGAGGTCGTTTCGATACTCGGTTCAGCTCCAATTTGAATTTTGGTTCAAATCTGGTTCAAACTGGTTCAGAACTGGTTCAACCTGGTTCAAGACTGGTTTAGGACTGGTTCAGGACTGGTTTAGCCTGGTCAGTGTAAAGGACCTGCAGTTAGCTTCAATTCTTGACTCCTTCGATTTTCAGTCTATTCGATGCTTTGACGAATAGCTGAAATCCTTCCGGCGCCACGTTTATCGTCTGGCCGTCGTCGAAGTCTCAAATCTAAAACTGATGAGTTGAGTTTGGCTCGTGTCATTAAGTTGACTTTGAACTGACTATCTCCATCATGATATATTGACTCGTGTTGACTTTTTGCTCGCAACATGTTGACTGGCGTTAACCTAGGGTTACGCGTTGATAGGCATTGACCTTAGGGTTTTGAACGTCGTACGTTGACTTTTTGATTGCAACGCGTTGACTGGCGTTGACCTAGGGTTACGCGTTGATAGGCGTTGACCTTAGGGTTTTGAACGTCCTTAGGGTTTTGAACGTCGTACGTTGACTTTTTGATCGCAACGCGTTGACTGGCGTTGACCTAGGGTTACTCGTTGACCGGAGTTGACCCTAGGGTTTCAAACGTCATACGTTGACTTTTTGATCGCAACACGTTGACTAGCGTTGACCTAGGGTTTCGGATCGCTTGACATTTGTTAGAGTATACACAGTTTAAGCTCTTGAGGTATTGGAGCATGGCGGTCCTAAATGTCGGAGTTGCAGGACCAACTATGAAAGTTGATTCATCTGCATGTATGGATCTTATCCTGAAATTGTTGGATGCTCAAGTCACGAGACCAACTAATGAAGATGATGCGTCAATGACTTGCATTTATAGAATTTTTGGCAAATCCTCAGCCATCAACGGGTTTGATAAGCCTTTACCGACTACCGTTTGAGTCGGGCTAGCATGCGGATTGTCTAACTCCGTTCGCATGTAACGTTGTGCTAAGAGAATGAATTCTCTTAGACTTCGTGCTATGATGTCGAATACATAGACTTCGCCATTGTTACGGGAATAGGCTACCCGGCAACACGTGTTAGGTGTTGACTTTATCCCTACTTAGGTTTCGGGATAAAATACCCCAGACTGGTCTTCTGGTGTCTTTTTCTACGGCGAAAGACTAAACCGGCGACGCGTGTTAGGCGTCGGCATATCCTTTCTTAGGATTCAGGATGAAATTCCCCATGCGTGTAAGGCATGGATTTTGGTGTTATTAATAACAACCTGCCACAATGTTGAATATGTGGGTGGGTGTTCTTTTTAACGGTTAAGAACTAACCGGCAGCGCGGGTTAAGCGCAGACTTATCCTTGCTTAGGTTTCAGGATAGAATACCCCAGAATCGAACTCTGGTGTCTTTTTCTACAGAGAAAGACTAAACCG